TGAGGGTTGCGATCCGTTGCTGGACACGGAAAAAGACAAAAAGACCAAAAAAAAAAAAAAAAAGAATTGGAGGATCCAAAATAATGGTTTTACTATAAATAAAAATTTAAATAAAATAAAATTATTTATATGATATTCTGATATGACAGATACTTTGGATATTGTATTTTCTTTAAAAAACACATATTCTGTTTTTATTTTTTATTTTTTATTTTATTATTTTTTTTTTCCTTTTTGTCTTTTTTTACGTGGCCGGCAACGGATCGCAACCCTCAGTGTCGCGCCCGTACCGGAAGGGACCGGCAACGGGATCGCAACCCTCGGTGCTGCGCCCGCACCTCGCTCAGCCAGTGAGCGGGAACCGGTCTGTATGTGGGATCCGAACCCTCGGCGGGAGCACCGCCGCACTCCCAAGCGGCGCACTGCAGCAGTGCACCACCGGGCCGGCCCTTATTTTTTATTTTTATTTTTATTTTTTTTCCTTTTTTTGCCTTTTTTACTGGCCGGTAAGGGGATCACAACCCTCGGTGTCGCGCCCGCACCAGGGACCGGCAACGGGATTGCAACCCTCAGTGCCGCGCCCGCGCCACGCAGCAGTGCACCACCGGGCCGGCCCTTATTTTTTATTTTTATTTTTATTTTTTTTTCCTTTTTTTGCCTTTTTTACTGGCCGGTAAGGGGATCGCAACCCTCGGTGTCGCGCCCGCACCAGGGACCGGCAACGGGATCGCAACCCTCGGTGTCGCGCCCGCACCAGGGACCGGCAACGGGATCGCAACCCTCAGTGCCGCGCCACGCTCAGCCAGTGAGCGGGAACCAGTCACCACATGGGATCCGAACCCTCGGCTGGAGCGCCGCCCTCTCCAGTGCACCACTGGGCCGGCCCCTGTTTTTATTTTTTAAGCTTAAGGAAGGAGTCTCAAAGCTTAATCAAGACAGTGTTAACATCTACCGTAATATTCACTTACCCATTTGGATGTTTCCGCAGGAGACGGGTTAGGAATACGAGAGTGTAGCCTATTGGCTCCTTGTTAGAGTCTCCATATTCCTGCCTGGGAGCACCTTGGGTACAAATCTAGCCAAACCTAAGTGGGATCTACAAGGAAAGGAGCCTTTTGCCATCACGTTCTAGAAGGCAGCTGTAGAAGACTCAGAGGCTCCTCTAGCCGTCGGTGCTCTGTTTGAGCTCATTGGAAGCCCTCTTCTCAGCACAGGGTGTTAGAACAAGTAGGGCCTCAGCAATGACCCACATCTCTGCATAAGTATCCTCCTCCCTGTGTCCCCCCCAACAGCAAGTGGGGTCGGGGAGGAGGTAACAGAGTCAGTCCAGCAGACATCTTTCCTTCCCGTTCATACTTCTGTCTTGTCAGAGTGCAATGTTGCCAGCTGGATTCCGACAGAAAGACCAGACGCAGAAAGCAGCCACCGGCCCATTTGATCGTGAGCATCTCCTCATGTACCTGGAGAAGGAGGCTTTGGAACAGAAAGACCGGGAGGACTTTGTGCCCTTCACAGGAGAAAAAAAAGGTAAGAACCACAGTCAGTGTGTCTTGGGGATAAAGGTGCTCCTAATGTACTGTCTCAGAGGGTCAAGCAAGGGAACTGACCTGAAAATGGGAAATAAGCCCATGAACTGGATTCAGTATTAAAAAGAATAACTGCTGGTGGGTACACGTTGTTCTACATTTGCCCAAACCCGTAGAATGTACAGCACCTCAAGTGAATCCTAATGTAAACATGGACTTTGGGTGATGACGTGTCAGTGGACATTTATCAGTCGTAGCAAACATACCACTGGGGTGTGGGATGTTGTTAGTGGGGAACATTGTATATGCCTGGGAACAGGGCATATATCAGAACTCTGTACTTTCCATTTAATTTGCTGTGGAGGGACCTAAAACTGCTCTCAAAAATAAACTGTTAATTTAAAAGAAAAAAGAATCATGGCAGAATAGGTGGGCTAATTAAATAAATACTTAGGTTGTAATGGCCCTCAAATAAGTTCTGTGAAAAATTTCTTGAACCCCAAAGAAAAAGTTTTAAAAATGTGAAGCAGTGTCATTCCTAAAAGAGGGTTCCATAGACACTGGTGTGCTTCTCTTAGCCCAGTGCTTTACCAACTGCAGAGTGCCCTCAAGGCCTTTCTACTACCTGTCTAGGATGGCTCTAGCCTCACACCCCAACCTTAGGTGCTACAGTTAAAGGCCAGTGCAGTTGATCATCCATTCATCCAGCATTTACTGAGCACCTCCTCTGTGCAGAGCTGTGAGCCAGGCACTGGGACCACAGGTGAATAAGACCCTGCCCCACCCTCAAGGAGCATGTGTTCTAGTGAGAGAAACATGACAGTAGAGCTAGGAAGGCTGTGAGGAGCAAGAGGATGTTTCTCCATGCAAGGACTGAGCTTCAAGCCCAGACAAGGAACCCCTCCTCCTTAGCTCCTGACCCTGTGCCCCACTTTGGAGGGAGAGTGGATATCAGTAGCCCATCTAGTTTCTTCAGCTATCAGAGTGACTTGGGCGCATAGATACTAATGGAATCATTGATAACACCATGGCAACTAAGTCTTTTTAAAATACTAATGAGATCATGTCACTTCCCTGCTGAAAGTCCCGAATTCTTACTTCGGTCTTCAAGGTGGATCTAGCCTGCAACCACCTCTCTGACTGCATCTCTCCTTCCCTTGCTAAGCCTCAGCCCTACTGTCTTCATCCACTTCCCCAAATCTGCCAGGGTCTTTTCCCATCTCAGGCTGGTCCCCTCCTGGACTCTTCCTTCTGACCCACATCCCTGTCTTTCACATCCTAAGAGTCTCAGCTTAAATGTCAGGGTCCCACGCTTTCTCTGACCTCTCTATCTGAAATAGACCCCTTCTTTCTATCGTGACACCCGTCTATTGCTGTCACAGCACTGTGACAGTACTCATCATTTTGTGTATGTACTTTGGTTTTTGTACATTTTCCACATCAGACTGAGATCTCTGCAGCAGGACTGGGTCTTTTTAGTATCCTGGCACAGAAACTGGCCCAGGAGGCACTCGAAATATGGTTTGAACAAATGCCATCTCTGAGCCCATGCACTGTGGCAGGGGAGCAGGAGCACCCAGCTCCTCACTACACAAGTCGAAGCACTGCCGCCTTCTCTTATGTAACGTCCTGGCTCTCTTCTGTGTTGTGCACATTTGGTGGATCACGTGCCGTTGAGAATGTCACTAAGAAAGTAAAGTTGAACAGTGACGAATTGGGCAAACAAGCCAGGATTACTGTGGACATACGGAGCTGTTTCTATGGCAGCATAGTTGCTATTGGACTAATTTCATTGTGAAAAAAATAAATTATAATGTCAAGTCTTCAATAAAATCCTAATTGACATCAAGTATTAGGGTAGTGACAGCATAATAAGGGCAAAGCTGTTGTCTTTTGTTCTCAGAGTAGAGGCCTGAGGACTGGCTATGGTACATTATCTCTTGATCCAGATTAACCTACAGATGGTCCGTGGGGGAGTTAGGAGTGCAGGAGCTGTGTGAGTAATAAATGGAGATATAAAGGGGGAATATGTTTACACCGTGTAGCTTAGGAGAAAGTTGTGAAGTAGCACAACTAAATTAAAGGAGCAAGTAATTAACCTACAGATGGTCCGTGGGGGAGTTAGGAGTGCAGGAGCTGTGTGAGTAATAAATGGAGATATAAAGGGGGAATACGTTTACACCGTGTAGCTTAGGAGAAAGTTGTGAAGTAGCACAACTAAATTAAAGGAGCAAGTTTTCCAAACCCAGCAGCAGGATCAGAGTCAGTATTCAGGGCCCTTGAAAGGACCAGCAGGAGGCTTTGGGAGGTCCTCAGGAGAAAGGCTGCACAACCTCAGTTCTGAATGCTGTGTGCGTGGTGCTTCTGGTTGCTGAACTAGCTTTAACTCTTTGGTGCAGCTTTTTTCACTTAGAACTTATTGCTTGGTTGGACTTCCAGGGATGGATCTGCATCAGCGGTTGTCCTGAATACTGATAGCTGTTGGGCTACCTGTACCTCATGTTTAGCACCAGGAAGGAGGAGCTTACAAGTCCTATTGACTCTAGACCCAAGATCATCTGATTCAGAAAGAAAGTGTTTTAGGCTGCAGATACTGTGAAAATTAACCCCAGTGTCTGAGATGTTATTGATTGGCTGGGGTTTTTTGGTTTTTGTTTTCATTTTCTATCTTCTGGCCACTGGCCACCCTCCTACTTTTTTTCCCAGTATGTTTTCTTCTTTCTAGGAAGTAGGGCAGCTTATGTGATGGCAAAGCAGGAAGTAGGCTGTATGTCAGTGACAGAGACCTTGTTGCCAGGATGCCCCAGACTGACTACAAGTGGTGCCCTTCTTTCCTTTCTTTGAGGTGCCCAGCTCTGACCAGCTCCTGTTTACTTACCCAACCATTTGACAGTATGGTAAAACATCAGGGAATCATATCCCCTATAAACAGGGAAGTCTTCTGGAGAGTTTTCATGAGGGAGAGTTATTGATTTTGGTTTTGACCCTTTCCTTTGCCGTGGGAGTGGGATGGGCCAGGCTAGCCAAGGAGACCTGAGTAGAGCTTGGGTCCTAGTTTGCTGAAGGTGGAGCCAGCTGTCTGTTCTATCCAAGGTGACCAAGAGGAGAAGACAGTAGTGGGGTGGGTCTTTAAAGAACTCTAAGCTTCAAAATAAAGGAAATGAGCTTCAAACATCAGGCCCAAGAAGTAAAAGTAGCTCCAAAAAGGAGAGAGAAACCAAAAGTCAAAAGTTGGTAAGAATTGGAAAAGAGCATGAGTAGGTCTGGGGTGTTGCGACCGAGGCTCTAGAATGTCCTGGGTTTATCTTTGTCAGCTGTTGTGCACGTGAGATGTGGTGTGTTGGCCTGGCTAGAAGGGAAGAGCAGATACTGGGCTGTCCTTCCAGCGATGTGATCCATCAGTCCAGAAGTCTGGGCTGGGGAGGTGGAGGCCTAGATATCAGCATTTTCAGAAGTGAATAGGGGGCTAAATAAATGGAATCTGATACACAGCATGAAGTGTGAGATAGTGGCAGAAAATGAGCCTGTGGGAAGCACAGGGTGCCTGGCTGCTCGCAGACCCTCACGATCTCTAAGATAACCACTTGATTTTTTTAAAACATATTTTATTTTATTATTTTTAATTTTTATTGAATCATAATTGAATATACATATTTTGGGGGCTCAACATTGACATATGTTGATCAAATCAATATTACTAGCATATGTATTGTTACAAATCATACTTATTCTTTATGCCCCTGTCCAATCTCTCCCTATCCCCTTGTCCTCCTCTCTCCCATCTCTGATAACCCTAGATTTCTTCTCTCCTTCTGAAAGAGTAATGGTTACTCTGTTGATTTGTTGCCTTGATGATCTGTCCAATGCTGAAAGGCATAACCAGGTCCCCCAGTATTATCATAGAGCAGCTGTTTCTTCTGTCACTCTGGAATGGACTTTGTGGAGAGAGACATCCTCTTTTTTTCTTTGGTCTCTGCTGGTGACTCTCCTTGTGTCAATGCACTCCAGTGGTTGGCGGACCATCTGCATGGTGGTTGTGACCTCTAGCCACTTTTGCAGCAGGCATGGTTACTGTGGTGGCTGTGGTGGGCCACCCACATGGAGGTGACATTTTTGGCATGCTACTTGGTGCTGGTGGTGTGCCTGGTTGTGGGCAGGGGGTCCGGCCCCTGGCTCAGTGCCCTGGACCCCTGGGCAGGCCCCAAGGCACTGGCAGTATGCCTGGGCTGGAACTAATATTTTGTCCTTTGATTACTTCTAAAATGGGGGTACTTCCTGTGGGGTCCAGTACATGAGCTGTGCAGTTGAGCTAAATTGCTGCTTTGCTGCTGATTCCCTAGGGAAGGCTTTTTGTGCAGCTCAGGTTTTAGTTGCTGACCTTATAGGTACTTTCGGCTCTCCAGAGACCTAGTGCACTTGGGTTGTGTAGAATCTCTGATCTGAGCCTGAGTCTTTTCATCAAAATGCACCCCATGCAATTCTATATCCCTCACCAGCCTCCTTTGAGTGGTTTTGTGCTGATTGGGGGGCAGTTCATCTGTCCTTGCTGTGCCCTAGTGTTCCCTGGGTGGGCCCGTCTCCCCCACTGCCAGTGCTGCAAACACTTCCCATGGGACGGGCCATGTGCCTGTCCCTTATGATGACTCACCAGTCTCTGAGTGGCTCCTTTTTTTCAGTTGTTGTGGCTCCTTGCTTCTATGTGGGTCCACAGGAACCCTATTAGTGGTCTTGCTGTCCTGGGGGCCAGCAAGGCCCTCTTCTCCCTGCTGCCTCCAAGCAACTTCATCTGAAGGGCACAGCTGTGGCTTTTGCCAGCTCCTGCTCCATGCACTCAGCAGCTCCAGCCTTAAAGTGGCCATAGCACGAAATAGAGCAGTTTTTTCTTTCTCTCATCGTGGCTTTTCCCACCTTCATGCACTCTGTAGGTCTCTCCTCCTCTTTCCTTGAGTTCTAGCAGCCCTAGCTTGCTGTCGTTGCATTTTTATAGTTGTAAATTGGTTGATTTGTGGGAGAGAGTGATGCTGGGGACTGTCTATTCAGCCATCTTGACCAGAACTAGCAGCAATACCAAAAAATTTTTAAATGATGCATGCTTTGGTGTACTCTAGAGCAGTGGCTGTGTCCCCAGGCTACCAGCTGTAGCATCCTAGGGCTAGTTGTCTTCAGTCCCAGCTGAGGGGGAGAAACTCTGGGTGATCACCTGTTTGTCCCTCAGGAACCCCTGGTGCCATTTGGATGAATCTACCTCCATGTTTGCAGGTCCAAGGCAAGAATGCAAATAGAAGCCCACATGCCTTTTTTTTTTTCCAAATATTTAAACCTAACAAACCATTGAGATATGTTATATACTCCTACAAATATACCTAGAAGGCCAGTATCCTTGGACTTCCCAGAACTCTGTGCAGGGATGTCAGTCTGTCCCACACTGCCAGGGCCTCAAGCACACATGTTGGGCACCCCAGCCTTCATATCCAAGCTTCATCCATACTCCCCCCATAAGCAGCCTCTCCTTGGCCTGGGGGTGCACACCCCAGCAGCATGACCTGCCTTCAGGAGAATGGACATGGGACGGGGCTCATGCCAGCCCTGGAAGCAGGCTCCAGGCTCCTTGCATGGGGAATTCCAGGGTCCCAGGCATCTGGAGTGTGGTCTAACAGGTGGCCCGTGTTCTGGATGGGAATATCCCTTTGGCCCTAGGGCTACTCCCTCGGTGAGGCGAGGATGCAGCTGGAGGAAGATCGGAGTCAGAGTGGGGCCCAAGGCTGGGCCCCTCCTGCACAGGGCTAAGGGCAGTGCTGCTGATGGTAGGGAGGTAGAAGCTACCATTTCCTTTTGTGTTTAAGGACTATAGTTGCGGATCTCTGTGTGGCAGAAGCCAAAATTCCTCTTCCAATGTCCCTTCCCTCCAATAGTGGATTATTGATGTTGGCACCATCCCAGCAATTCACAAATCTCAGTTGTAGAGGAAATGGCTTAATGATGCTGGTCTTAATGGCCAGAACTGTATTCTCTGCTAAGTCCACTCACCCTACCCATAAGGCAGTAGCACATAATATTCCTGTTTCTCTTCTGATTTAAAGGGAGAGTCTTCATCCCCAAAGAAAAGCCTGTAGAAACTCGTAAGGAAGAAAAAGTGACCCTTGACCCAGAACTGGAAGAAGCTTTGGCCAGCGCATCTGACACTGAACTCTACGATCTTGCAGGTTAGTCCTCAGCTCCAGGAAGTTTCCTACCTGGCTATGTGACCTCCAGGTGTGCACTGGTACCCATAGCAGCAGGCTCCGAACTTCCCTGTAGCTATTGATTATTATTGCGATACCAGGTTGATTCTAGCCATTATGTAGCTGTCAGACTTGATGCAGGTGATTTAACCTCTCCAAGAAAATCTTATTCTGCTCCAACTCGCTGTAAAATGCCCAAATAATACCCATCCTGCAAAACCCAAGAGTTATTGTGAGAAGCCAAAGAGAATAAACATGAAGTAGTACAGAGAACTTAAAGAAGAAATAACAGCCCTTCTGTTTTCCAAGGAGCTTTCACATTTGTTCCTTTTATCACATTTTATCATCACAAAATTTCCATGAAATTCTTGCTCTTCCCCACAGTCTCTCTTCCATTTTGATTCACACTCAGAAGTCTGTTAGCTTCCTAGTTTCCTTGATAATAGCAACATGATAATAATAATAATTACTTTAATTGATTTTGCATGCAGATATAAAAAGCTCAAATAATATAAAAGAATATGTAATGAAGAGTAAGTCTCTCACCCTAGTTACCTAGGTCCTCTCCCATTTCTTGTATAGTCTTCAAGAAAGATTTTCTGCATATAGGGTTATTAGATCACCACAGGATAGAGGTGCTTTAAAAACTAGTCCATTGCTTTCATAGGAATTCTCATTTTTATTCCATCAGAAGACATTTATGATCATTACCTTCCTCCCAGGAGAACCAGCTATGCTTTGTTCTAATACATACCAACCAGCTCAGCTGCATTTTCCTTCCTTCTATGACAACATTAGTGGTCGATATTAGGTTCACATATTTGAACCTTTCTCGGAGGTCACTGCAGGGGCTAAGGCACCTGCGACACTGGGTGAGGGCAGGACTTTGCAGCAACTGCTCATCCTAGCCCTGTGGTTGCTGTGGAAGGATCCTGTTATGGTGACTGCTCCTCCCAAGGGTTGCCTCATGTTCTCTACTGGAATTGCCCAAAGGGAGATTGCAGAGCTGGACTTGAATTCCCTGAGATGTTTGAAAGAGGAGAAAGGGAAAAACACCGATCCTTTGGAAAATACTACATCCTGAAATTCGTACACTAAAACCAGGGAGATAATCCAAGTAGAGCACTGTCCTCGTTCATCCTTACTCAGCCTCCCTTCCTCATCACATGCTTTCTAGGAACTCAGGAGGAAGACTAGCTGGGGTTGGGTGGCAACATCTTCTTAAGGGTGGATCATTCTGGAAGTTTGAGAGCAGCCCTATGAGTGGATGGGCTGATAACCATTGAGGTTTAGATTAGGAAGAGCAGCAGTGCATTGCCTATGTGATTGTGGCAGACAGACGGCAGAAAGACAGGCAGCTCATCAGGGAATGGCACCTGATCTCCAAGACAGTGCCTCCCACACTGGCCGAATCTCATGGTAACTATCCAGAGTCTAGTCCTTAGCCCTGCTAGTTTAGAGAGTTGATCTTGTCAGTATACACAGAAGCAGACGGATCGGAGCAGGATGGTGGGGACTGATCCATTAGCCTCATTCACAGGAAACAGGTAAAACAAAAGTTAAGACTTAACAGTGGGAGCCAAGTGATAATCAGAAGTTGCTTGGAGAGTATGGAGGCCAGAACAAGAAGATATGTTTCTTGTGCGGTCTCAGTGGTCCTATGTTTATCAAATGGAACAGCTTCTCCCTAGAAAATGCCAGAGACACAGTCACAAACTCTTATTTGTTTAACAAGAATTTGTGAAGCACTTAGAACAGTTCCCGACACGTAGGAAGTCATTTAATCTTTGTAATAAGAATAATTATTATCCTTGTTCTACAGATGAGAAAACTGAGACTCAGAGGCATTTAGTAATTTCCAAAGTTACACAGTTAGTACATGATAGAGTCAGAATTCAAACTGTGGCTGGCCACTCTGGAGTCCCCCACTCAGCCCCTGCACTTGCTGGCTCTAACCATTTGCCCTCCCTCCTGCTGTGCTGGCCACCTCCCTCCTAAGATGTAGCTTACAGTAGAGCTGATGAGGCTCTTAGAGGTGCTCCTCTGCCACGTGTTGACAGATCTTTATCTCTTCTGGGATCCTTCTCCAGGTGCCAGTTTCACCTGCAATTTCATTAGCAGAGAGAAATCTGTGTGGGCAGTTGCAGTGTCAGCCTGCCCAGCATTCATTTGCCCTCAGTGGTGTTTCCTGTGTACTGTGCTGCCTCCTGGTGCAAGTTCCATGTAATACAGCAGACCAAAAATTTCAATATGCTTAGCTGACCTTTTGTTGCAGATATCTCTTACTTCCCACCCTGGGTTGTTCTAGCCATGGAAAGGACAATTCCTTTTGCTGCTGAGAGGCAGGAGAGATGGGGAGCCTTACATTGAAAGAGGTCTGCAATTTTTCTGTATTTGCCTCTAGAAAAATATATGCAATAATCTATATAATGTTAGATCTTAAAAATCCTTCAACTCAGTCCCGCCCTCTCATTTTACAGATGAGAAAACTGAAGGGTTTAGTCTACTTAACTAGGAGGTCTAAGCAGTTTTTCAGTAATTTGAGGATGTAACTAAACCATCGTTCCTCAGATCCAAAATGATTCCACACGTTTAGATGTAGAAAGATGTGAAGATTGCTGGAGGTCTTGGAAAGAGGGTTTTTAAAATAAGTTTATTTAACATTGTACATGTACAACACACTGTTCAAGAAAAGGAGAGTTTGGAAACTTTATGATATAAAGAATTGTTCTTTGAGGGGCAGATTAACAGTGTGGACATCCTAACACACTTTCCAAACTTAATGCTCATTTGTCAACTGTCTTTGTTTTTAGCTGTCCTTGGAGTACACAATTTGCTCAACAATCCAAAGTTTGATGAAGAAACAGCCAACAATAAAGGTGGCAAAGGGCCTGTAAGAAGTAAGTTGGTGTGGAATCTGTGGTTTTGTGGAGCTTTGGAGCCGGCAGGTACTGCTGGCAGGAAGGAGGCCTGTTGCCTCGTGCGGGCTCTACACTTTGTCATCTCACCAGGGATCACTGAGCAATCACACGAGAGCGGAGCAGCTGATAATGGGAGCTGTAGCTGGCAGTGTAACTAGTACGAACAGTGTGTTTTTCCCAGAACACTCTTTCTTGGTAGGACTGTTCAGTCAGAAGATAAAATTGCTGCTGAAGAGGTTGCATAGTTAGCAAGTTAGTACAGAATGTAAACAGAGTTTCATGTTTGTAGGATGTTTTAATCAACTATAGTAGCGCAAATTAGTTCCCTTTATTCAACTGTCTTTTTGTCTCAATAATGGATGTTCGTTGCTAGAATTTGATACCTATGTCCCCCAGGGAACATGAAAGACACGCTGGCATGGACTTACTGGCACAGAAAGTTCCAGACCACTATCTTCTATGTCAGCATTTTCTGGAGAAGGATACGGTTATATTCTCGTTCACTCATTCATTTGTCATCTACTGATAACTACCTTCTATGTGCAAGGAAAGTTCTAGGCTTAGGTGCAAAGATAACAGATGGTCCCTACCCAAAGGAACTTACCTGTCCAGGGTTGGGATGGACCAGTAGTCAGGTAATTTCAATATAGTGTGATCCAGGTGCTGTGAAAATTCACAGAACATCACATCTTTTCTTAGATTAATTATATAGTTTTCTCTTTAACAAAGACTTGGGGGAGATGCTTTCTAGTCTCAGTAGCATATTTATGAACTGTCATTTATAGTGGGTAATTAACCACATAATGAACAATATTCCTTTTATTTATTTTTTCTTTCTGGTTTCTTATGCACACAAATGAAAAATGTGACGGGCCGGCCCGGTGGTGCACTGCTACAGTGCGCTGCTTGGGAGCGCGGCGGCGCTCCCGCCGAGGGTTCGGATCCCACATACAGACCAGTTCCCGCCCACTGGCTGAGCGAGGTGCGGGCGCAGCACCGAGGGTTGCGATCCATTGCCGGACACGAAAAAAGACAAAAAGGAAAAAAAAAAAAAAAACAAATGAAAAATGTTCATCCTAAAAAGCTTCAGTATCAGGGTAACATTCTTGACGACATGTTTGCCATTAACAATCTGGTGCATAACCTTCTGAGCTTTTACACATCCACATCCACACAAATACCATTAACTTTTTTTCAAGTTGTAGTCTCTTATCAGTACCTGTAGGTTTACCTGGTTTAATGAGTAAATAGCACCTTGTTACGTGATCATGCTGTAATTTATTTAACCATTTTCACATCGATGGACATTTTGTTTATCATGTTTTGCTGTCACACATAAAACATCAAGGAACATCCCTGAATATATATATTTATGTATTCGTGCTATTTGTTCATAGGTTAGACTTCTAGATATAGAACTGCTGTGTCACAGAGTACGCACATTTTAAATTTTGATAGATAATGCCAAGCTACTCCCACCGAAAATTCATAGGGATGCTTCTTCCTCCACATTGTTGCCAGATCTGAATGTTATCTCTTTTAACAATTTTTAGCTAACGAAATGGTGTCTTGCTTTTTAACTTCAGAGTGTAATTACTTTTCATATTTTTGGTTGAGTGACAGATTCTTCTGAGCATATTATTTGTTCGTTTTTATGGGGGTTGTCTCATTGATTTGTAGACGCTTTGCATATATTGAGATAATAACACTTTGTATGTTACATATATTCCAAACATTTTCTGTTAACTGCTTTTGGGAATTCTTCCATGCTTCTTTTCCATCCCTTTCTCTTCCCATATCTCCCTCAAGCTAAAGCTCTAAAATGGAAATCAGAGGATGGTGGGGTATGATCAAGAGGCCAGAGGGGTATTAAGGTTTGAGAAATGAAGAGACTCATTATGGTTTCTTTTTTGCACCTCCAATCCTGTGGTCTGGTTATTATAGTGTAAAGGAAGTCTATATGGAACAGCAATAACTGCCCATGGATATTTTGCGGAGTTGGAGTTTGCTATAGGGCCACCTGCACTTTTGACTCCATGCAGTGTCAGCCACTGAGACTTCTCATTGTGGTTGAGAAACATCAACATTCCAAACTGTAACTCAGAGATATACCACTTCCATGCTCACTTAGTTGAGAATAAAATTATTATTATTGATGTTACACTGTTATTGGAATCAGAGTATGTGAAAATGTCATTTTGGGGGAAGTCATCTCTGGTTTTGATAGGAGAGCCCTTGAATTTTCTTTTTAAAACTCAAACTGTGTTTAGATGTGGTCAAAGGCGAGAAGGTCAATCCAATATTTGAGGAACCACCTAATCCCACAAATGTGGAAGTAAGTCTGCAGCAGATGAAAGCCAACGATCCCAGCCTGCAAGAAGTCAACCTCAACAACATTAAGGTATTTCATTATGATTGTGATTTGTCAGTCACTTCATGAGGTTAGAAAACTTACCAAATATGCCAGTTACCCTAACTTGATTATTACATATTGCATGCATGTATGGAAACATATACATTCCGCATAAATATGTACAATTAATGTGCCAATTAAAAATAAATTAGTTTTTTAAAAAAGAGGAAAAAATACTTACCAGAGATGACTGCCTGCTTTCACACCTGTTTGCAGTGCTTTGTAGTCACTGATTTGGAGGCAACATATCCTATTCAAAATAAGAAGTGGGTTTTTAAAAGAAGTGATTTCTAGAATTGTTTGAAAAGAATCACAGGACTTGTGTTTAAAAATAGTTTCTTAGTATATATGTCTATTGCTGAGTAACAAATTGCTCCAAATTTAGAGACTTCAAACAATAAACATTTAAGGGCCGGCCCGGTGGCGCACTGGATAGTGCGCCGCTTGGGAAGCGCAGCGGCGCTCCCGTCCGAGGGTTCGGATCCCTTGTGGATATGAGCCAGCAGTTTTCCCAGAATTCTGGTACTGTCTGAAGAGAGAGTGGCAGTGAGCATACTTTTTGGAGGCATGCTCTGTGCTTGCTCAGAGGTAATGCCATATCATTTCTCTAAGTAGAGTTGTTTATTTGTAAAATGTGAAACATAAGCCACTTCTCTGTCCTGAAACATTTTCTTTCATTAAGACAGAAAATTAAAAGGGGACAATAACCGTATCACAGAACTCTAAACTATTCCTCCAACCTTTGAAACAATAAACATTTATTATTTCACACAGTTTCTGAGTGTCAGGAATCGGAGGGTGACTTAACTAGAAGTTGGCTCAGGGTCTCAAGTAGGGCTGCAGTGAAGCTGTCAGCCAGGGCTGCAGTGTCAAGCTTGACTAGGGCAGGGGATCCACTTCCCCTCATCTGGCTATTGGCAAGAGACCTCAATTTCTCACCAAGTGGGCCTCTCTGTAGGGTTGCCTGAGTGTCCTCACATCGTGACAGGTGGCTTCTCCAAGAGCAAATGATCTGAGAGAAAAAGAGTAAGCAGGAAGCCACAACATCTTTTATGACCTTGTCTCTGAAGTCACACATTGTCACTTTCACTTTATTTAATTTGGCAATAAGTCATGCTACTCTCAAAGAGAGGGTGTGTGTGTGTGTGTGTGTGTGTGTGTGTGTGTGTGTGTGTGTGTGTGTGTGAACATTGCCAGAGGTCTGTTTTGTTCATTCTTATTGGGCCAATTCCTAGCATTTAATAATAATAACTGACTTTTATTGACTACTCACTATGTGCTATATGCTTTGCTAAATACTTGAAATTTATTGTCTCATTTAATCTTTAGAGAGACTTAAAGAGGTTAAGTTGCTAAGATCACAAAGCTAGTCTGTTGTGCAGTCAGGACTCATGTGCACATCTGGCAGCACCCAATATTACTTCCCTCCCCAGTGGTCAGTGCTGTGCTAAGGTGTCTAGGAGAGGGAGTACAAAGAAAAGTAAGATTCATTCCGTCTTTACTCTGAGAAACACTAGACAAATTATATCACATGGTAAGCCCCCAAATGTTACAGAATTGCAGAGAAGGAAAATTTAAATACTGTCTAGGAGAGCCAATAAACAAAGGAGGTCTTGAAAGATGAGTAGAAATTAATCAAAGGAAAGGGCAAAAGGAATTTCCAGACAAAGGGAAAAGTATATCTAAAGGCATGGAGGAGAGAGAGACCATGGTATAGTAAAAGAGTAGCAAGAAGGTCAGTCTGGCTAGAATATAGAAAACAAAAGAAAAAAGAGGGAAGTATGGAAATGTGCATAACTTCTTGTTTAGAGAAAACAGAAAGGTGGGGTCAGAATGTTCCATCGTGTTAGATTTCCTTACTGGACACTAAGGGGTGCTGTTGGCTCAGGATAGCTTGGTTGCTGGAGGATGGGTAATGAACCTCTTTTAGAGGTAACATCATGTTTTTAGCCATCAAAATGTATATAGTATTTAAAAGTCATGGGTCCTCCACCTGGGGTGGGTGTATCATAGAATGGTTCATTAACTAGCCATGTCTTCTCTTTCTTAGAACATTCCAATTCCAACTCTGAAGGAATTTGCGAAGGCTCTGGAGACCAACATTCACATAAAGAAGTTCAGCCTGGCTGCAACCCGCAGCAGTGACCCTGTGGCCATTGTGAGTAAAATTCTCAGAAATATAACATGAGGTTATTTAATTCACTAGAGATTCTTTTAAATTTGTTTTATCAATTAACAATTTTTAGGTCTGGTAAATTTATAGTCTACAGAGTTAATAAGCAGAATTATAACGAGACATCAAAACTTCAGAACCCAACTGTCAGGTGCTTTGAATTTACTAGAGTTTTTTCAGCACTACACTTTTTAGAGAAAGAAACAGGATAAGTTTGGCATTTAGCTAAATAAATATTTAGGGTTTGTTCTGTGCTTAGTACAAATTTTCTGATACTTTTGCATATACATAACATTTTGTTACGTCATTGGATATTATGATAAAATCCTACAGGAACTCAGCACATGTAAAAAAAAAACAGTTTATTCCATTTTCATCTTTGAAATGGATTAATATGTGTAAAAATTACTTTAAATTGAATCTTGAAACACTTTTTGTTTGATACTGTTAACCAGAACATGAAAAAAAAAATAGCCAACCAAAAAGTGTATTCCTTCTATGGATTTTAGATAACTCAGTCAAATAAGGAAGTCCCTCAACCCAAGTAAATACTACAACCATCACCATCATCATTGTATTCCTCCTATTAATAATTAATTGTTCCTCCTATTGCTAATTTCTAGAGGAATTAGTAAATGCCAGCTCTGATCTCCGTGCTTTACACACATTGTCTTATCTAATGGTCACTCTAATACAATGAAGTATGTACTATTATTATTATTATTATTTTTTTTTGTCCTTTTTGTGACCGGCCGCACCGCGCTCAGCCAGTGAGCGCACCGGCCATCCCTATATAGGATCTGAACCCGCAGCGGGAGCGCTGCTGCGCTCCCAGCACCGCACTCTCCTGAGTGCGCCACGGGCTGGGCCCAAGGATGTACTATTATTAGTTCCCACATTAACAAATGAGCCAGTTGAGGCTCAGAGAGGTTAAGTAAGTTATCCAAGGCCATATAGCATGGCAGAGCCAGAATTCACCACCAGGTCTTTCTGGTTCCAGAACCAAGATACTTAACCATCATGCTATGGTGTATTTACATACAGTACCTTGCTGTCATACATTAGTTAAAATAAATCATGTATCAGAAGCTTGAGCATCAACCTATGGTTCTATATCATCTAATGTTCAGCCCTTGAGTCAAGCTAGAAAAACAAAAGTTGTCTTGACTTTGATTTAAAGTAACACGTCTTTTGGAAGATCTAAAATAGTATTTAAAACAGCATGTAACATAGCATTTAATTACATGAAAGTAATGACTACCAATCATGCTGCTGGCACAGAATAGATGTTTGAAAAGTACTTGTTAAATGAATGAATGGGTCAAAGATGGTGGCGCCTTGAGCAGTAGCATGAACGTTGTTACTGGAAGACTTTGCCCAGTCATGCTAAAATCAAAACAGTGGGGAGCACATGCCATGTTGCAACTGATGGTGAAGAACCTCCCGAATGGAATGAAGGAGGAACATCTCAGGCAGCTGTTCACTGCCTTTGCCACACTGACGTACTGCAACCTGAAGTTCACCAAAGAGGGCAGGGTGGAAAGTTTGGCTTTTTTGACTTCAAGGAAGAGGCCCAAACAGCTCAGAAACATTTCAACAAGAGTTTTATTGACACATCCTGGATCATGGTGGAGTTCTGCAAGGCATCTGGGGACCCAACAGAGCCTTGAACCTGGAGCAAACATACCCAGAAACCAAGCCAGTCCGAGCAGCCTTTAAAAGACTCCATTCCCCTGGAAACTAAGAAAGACGATGAGAAGGAAAAGGTTGCAAGTGAACTGGAGAAGCTGAAGGAAGATCCTGAGTTGCAGGAGTTCCTGCTGGTTCACCAGAAGCGGAGGCAGGCGGCCACACGGGCAAACGACTCCCTGAACAGCAAGCCCCCAAAAGGGAAGAGCGAGCCAGCCAACTCTGATTCAGGGCAGGAGAGGGAGGACGGCCTTGATCTAAAGGCAGCTGTGAAGAAGGAGCTGTTGGGCATGGATTACCTGAAATCCAAGACGGTGAAGGTGGAGTTGTCCTCTTCCTCAGAGGAGGAGGAGCATGAAGACGAAGCAGGTAACTGCGAGGAGGAATGGAGTGAGGCTGAGCAAGAGGGTCCTCCGCTGCCCTAGCCCTGCAGGAGAGAGAGCAGGGGGAAGGCCGGGAGCCAGGGGCCCCGTCTGGGAATAAGAGACCACCCGATGCCCAAGACAAGGTAGAGAAACCAGTGAACCAGACGGAGCCCACCACCCCTCACACTGTGAGGCTGCAGGGAGCCCCATTCAACATCAGGAGAAAAATGTTATGGAATTCCTGGCACCCCTGAAACCAGTGGCCATTTGAGTAGTGAGAAGTGCTCATGGGAGCAAAACAGGGTACCTCTTTGTGGATTTCAGCAGTGAAGAGCAAGTGAAGAAAGCTCTGAAATGCATCAGGGAATACATGGGTGGACGCTGTGTCGAGGTGTTCAGGGAAAAGAACATCCCCATAGTCAAGGGACCCCTGAAGAATAGCACCAAAGCCTGGCAAGACTGGATACTCAGAGAAAACAAAGAGGAGGAGGACCTGGCTTGCTCCAGGACACTCTTTGTGCAAAACCTGCTCTACACCAGCACCCAGGAGGACCTGGAAAAGCTCTTTTCCAAATACGGTCCCCTGTCTGAGCTCCACTACCCTATCGACAGCCTGACCAAGAAACCCAAGGGCTTTGCCTTCATCACCTTTATGTTCCCAAGCACGCTGTGAAGGCCTACGCAGAAGCAGATAGGCAGATGTTCCACGTGTTACCATCCACCATCAAAGAGGAAGCTAGCGAGGACCCCTTTGCTCCAGGATTGTCATCATATAAAAAGAAGGAGTCCAGGGACAAAGCCAACAGCTCCAGCTCTCACAACTGGAACACACTGTTCATGGAGCTGAATGCCACAACTGATGACATTGCATAGAAGTATGATGCCGCCAAGAGTCAAGTGTTTGACTACGAGACCAAGGGCAATGTGGCCATTCACTTGGCCCTGAGGGAGACCCAGCTCATCCAAAAAGTGTGGCGCTTCCTCACTGACAATCAGGTTAGTCTGGATGCTTTCAGCCTGGCTGTACGTAGCAGAGCGAAGCAAGACCGTGATTCTGATGAAGAACCTCCCGGCTGGCACCCTGGTGGCCAAGCTGCTGCCTGAGGGTGATGTCACCACCACTGTGGAGTTCCTGAAGCCCCTGGAGGCCTGCAAGGTCTTCAGACATTTGGCCTATTCTAAGTTCCACCGTATCCCCCTGTATCTGGAGTGGGCTCTAACTGGCATCTTCTCCAGCACAGACCCAAAGAAGAAAGAGCCCCAGGACCCACCAGTGGAACCTGTGGAAAAGGACAAGGCAGAGCCAGAAACCATACAAGACAGTAAGACCCCAGAAGGTGAAAAACCCAACAGGAGGAGCAGACGACTCTTGAGCAAAGATGGAAGAAGAAGAAAAAAAGAAAGAGGAGGAAGAAGACAGCCTCCCAGGATGTACTCTTTTATCAAAAATTTCAACTTCAACACAGCAGAGGAGACACTGAAGGAAGTGTTTTCCAAAGTGGGAATGGTGAAGAGCTGTTCTGTTTCCAAGAAGAAGAGCAAAGCAGGAGTGCTGCTGTCCATGGGGTTTGCATTTGTGGAATACAGGAAGCCAGATCAAGCCCAGAAGGCTCTCAAGCAGCTGCAGGGTCACATCGTGGACAACCACAAATGAGAAGTGAGGCTCTCAGAACGAGACACCAAGCTAGCCCTGACATCTGCTTGGAAGAAACAAGTGCCCAGAAAGCAGACGACCTCCAAGATCCTGGAGCAGGACATCCCTTTCCAGCTTGACAGCCAGGAGAGCCAAGAGCCCTTCAGCACCTTCAGGGAGCTGAAGACAGTCCGCTTGCCAAAGATGACTGGGACAGGCACACATACAGGGTTTGGCTTTGTGGACTTCCTCACCCAGCAGGCTATGAAGAGAGCTTTCAGCGCCCTGTGTCACAGCACCCACTGTATGGCTGCAGGCTGGTGCTGGAGTGGGCTGACTCCAAGGTGACCTTGCAGGCCCTGAGGTGGAAGATGGCCAAACATTTCCACAAGCCCCTGAAGAAAAAGCAGTCTGTGGTGTTGGACGAGATCCTGGAGCAGCTGAAAGACAGTGAAAACGACAGCAAGGAGCAAATCCTTCAGCTGTGAGGTGGCACTGAGGGGCTGCTGAGCTAGGAGTCCCACTTGCATTTGTCCAAGGGACTGTGCCCGGATTGGGAGTTGGCCTCTGTCCTGAACCATCCTCATCACCCGGGACGACAAGTCCTAGTGTAGTCATCCAGCGAAGCCTCCATTGCAAGTCACGAAAAAGCATCAAGCTCCAAGCCTGGACACCAGTCTCCCTGGTTGAGCTGAACTGTGTTGTTAATGACAGATGTGCTCTGCTCATGTGCTGGGGGTCCTGTGAAATGCATCAAGGTCCTTACCTCTGCCAGGCAGCATCCCAAGTCTGCTCCAGTTTAAGATGTAGCCTCCCCCATGGGGAGTGCTGTGCCAGCACCAGCCAGAGGACGAGATGGTGGAGTGGAAGGAACAGGAGCTACAGCCCATCTGACCTTGATCCAATCCCAGGTATAGCCATTCCCAGCTGTGTGACCTCAGACCGATGACGTCCCCTCTGAGCCTGTTTTTCTTTCTATAAAATAGGGGTGATAATTGTGCCTACCTCACTACTTTGGATAGATGGTTCTGTAATTAAATTAGTCAATTCAAGTAAAGCTCAGAGAAAATGCTTATCAAAAAAAAAATTTTTTTTAAATGAATGAATGATCATGACCTCCACCCTCTCAGCAATAGAGAATATTTCCATGGTGACATCAGCAAACTTGAAATAAGCACTCATGTAAAAGAAAGACTAAGCTACAAAAGCAGTGTTTCACCAGCAATTATTACATATCTAAATATATAGGCTGAAAGCAGTTTTGAATTTGAGACCTATCATTAAAATAGAAAAATAGA